TTGTGAGTTCAAATCTTGGTAGGGGGGGGGGGTGACAGCCAAGGTACGGAATGGGTTCATGAGTTCGGCCACTGAGGAGATGCAGTGATGATATGAGCTCGTGTGTGAAGATGCCATGTGGATTATTCTATCGCAGCATCCTGAGAGATGGTGGTGACTTGGGCAGGCTTTCAGTTGTAGATTGCCCATGGCTAATGGTGATTGTCAAGTAATATAATTGATATTACTCCTGCTATTGTTATGCGTTTCATTGCCACTTCTTACTTCACTCACCGCTTCTATATCAATTAGCTAGCGAATGCTGCTGTTAACCCTTATGGATTACAGTACTGTAACCACTGTTTTCACAATCTGTACTAGATTAAAACATTCCTTAAAGAGATGCCTGGGACATAAACACGGTAACCGTAACTACAACATTGCTGCTTCCAGACTTCCCATAAAAGGCACCGCATTACCCAAATTGTCAGTGGTTGCATAAAGCAGCTTACGTGACTTTGTCCTTTGTAGTACTTGCAATGAGAAGGTAGTGTAAAGATCCCTCCACTGGTCTCCAATCAAATTAAATAGAAGATTGTCCTCGTTAATCTTGAAGAGCCTCCATAGATTGTCAATTCCATCTCTGAACGCCACCTGTTGCACTCCACTATAGAAAGCAAGGCCCTTTGTCACAACCCGCGTGTCCACTCAATGTAACTTCGTCCTTATATCTGCACTCCCGTCTCATCCCGTGTAAATCATAGCTAAAAACTTTCCCGTGACTGATCCTCCCCTCTTCCCAAACCCCATTCCTATTTCTAATGCACTGTAATTGTATTTTCTGTTCCAAGTGTGTTATTTTTTTCCATGTAAATAGAAAATACTCATATACTTTGGATCATTCGGTAAAGTCACGTAGATAGGTTCTAAGAAAATAACAAAAAAATAACAAACAAGAAAATACTCCGTGACCACTCATTAGCCCCCTCTTTGGGACTCAGCTGCCCCCTTTCTCCCTTGTAGGGCACCTTAAGTATTGTTTTACAGTATTTCAATATCAAGGACACATCACATAATATTCTACCACATCTCTGCCATACGCTCATGACTTGCTCCTGTTGTGAACATTATTGCTTCTGTCCTAAATATAGATCAGTAGACGTGCCGTTATCATTGAGTCAAGCATAGAAAATTACCGCTTGATGCCCATACTTTGTGTTGTCCTGTATACACAGCTTTATAAATCAAAATTATATTGTGATTGCGCTATTGATTCTGCCGTTGCTGCCTTCTACATCAGTAATAATTGCTGTTTATACATCTGCTGCTGCATGCCGAATCTTAAACTGTTGCTGACATCTCAGCTGCTGCTGTCGAGGAGGAAATATGACATCAGCAGTAACCAGATCCAGGGGAAATGTGTTGACCAATCAAAAATGCCTACATTTCACAGATATGGGGGAACTGTTGAACGTTAAAACTTATGTTGACTGTATAAACTGACTTAAAAAATACAATAACCAGAAAAATACGCCTCCGTACCATACCTGTCAACATAAAAATGTAAGTATATTTTACCCATTCCATCAGCCACACGACCTTCTGGCAGCAAATTATTTCAGCATCATTAGAGCGACATATATGGGAAGAAGACTGTCTGATTATTTATTTTGTTACTAACATTTTCCACGATGATAATACTAGTCTTGTGTTATGTATTCAAAAGGAATGGAGCTTTCTCTTTTTGTTATGCTTATTATATAGCTAAAAGGGTAAAAACCTATTACTATATCTTGTTACTGGCAAAGGAGGTCTCATAATGTAAATGCTCACCCCGAGCCCTCAATACTCTGATAGTGCGCTGTTTTTGAGTTGTACGCCTTTTGGCGTCTTCTGGTCCAACACCAGTGGAGACTAGGCTCTAAGAAAAGCCGTCTCGGGTGTGGACCAATAAAATTCAAGGACAGTGCATATTATTATCAGAGTTGTCTCTTTTTGTTTGCATTTTTGACTGCTTGTATTGTGGTTATTGCAGACATGATCCCTTGTATAAAGGTGTCAGTTTTTGTGCCAACTAAAAGGGTAAAAACCTATTACTATATAGCTGAAGGCTGTACATTTTGCACTGCATACAGCGCTGCACACGCAACCTCAGCGAGTCGATGCCATCTGCTTTGGTTTTAACACCTTGTTTGCTTAACTCTATATTCTCATATTCATCGATATGTAAATCCACACGACAATGAGGATGTCTCGTTCACTGGTCAAACAATGTCACGGTTGAAAGTTTTTTTTCTTATCTGTCGTCAAATGCATCCGTGAATCCTCGTGTAATCTGCGCCAGTAACAATAAACAATATGCACATGAAAGGATGTATTGTGGAGTGGCTGCATTACATTAATTCCATGAGTTGTGGATATAACATGAGTTTTACATGTGTTGTCCACGTGCTATTAAAATATGCATTTACTTCACTGGCTGCTGTCCGCATGACTTAAAGTACAATTGACTCAAACAATTAACATTTTAATATTTGATTTTTAGATCTGATGTTTGTAACACTATATACAGTATAATTATGTTAAACTGATTGTTTTTTCATACATACACTATACATTTTCAACGCAATTAGAGGATTGCATTTATATATCAAAACAAAAACATTACATCTTAAAACGTACAGGTAGGCAAACACCTATTGAGTTTATGGATTAAGGACAACTCCAGAAACTGCACTTACAAAAGGGACAGAGTTACTCTCGGTCAAGAACTTACCTGAGAGGACTTCAGGCTTGACGTGTGCCCTTTAATGCCCACTGTCGAGGGCAGGCATAATAAGCGTCTCTTAAATAAACTACAGGATGCTGTTGCCAGAGTGCAATGGGTAGCTCGCTGGAACTGCGATCCAGAGCTCGCCAGTTCGACGTCCCAGCGGCGGCAGCTGAATCAGTGGACACGTTTCTTAAATCTCACCTTGCCACGGGTGGTGAGATGTTAGCTACTTTATCCTTGGTATACAGGTCTTGGGTTCGATTCCGACCCTGACGATGCCTGTATATTTGGAGGTTGCATGTTCTCCGGGTGGTTGCGTGGATTTATATGCGGGTCCTCCAGATGTTCTCTACACACTTATAAAATGCGTTTAAACTGATTTATCCACATTAAACATTTCCACGCGATAAGTTACTTCGTTCAGCTATCATTTGTGGCCAGGTCGCTTCTGAAAAAGAGCAATAAAGTTCAGTGGGCCTTACCTGGTAAAACTAAAATTGTAAGTTTAACGTTAAAAAAACTGCTTCCTTGACTATAATTCAGTACAGCAAGTCGACTAATCACCATGTGTTTCCATCTATAAGGGGATAGAGTGTTGCCCTCTCACGCGCGTGGGTCGTATCCGGGTCCTCCGGTTTCCTCCCACTTGTAAAACAATAAACATTAATTGTGATTCCTGTAGCCTCTGTCATGTATGTTGAATTTCTTTCGCACCGTACGTGGCCAATCGTGCTAAAACGGAGGTGCGGGTCAAGGACAATCAGAAAAAAAAAACATTGGCTGAAAGCATCTCAAAAATAAAATCCCAATGCAGGACTTTCCTGTGTGGCGTTTCTAGATAATAAGTAAATTATAATTAATATGAGGATTTGGAAAGGGGTCGGGTGGACGAGGTCAGTCCCTTGCAGCCCCCCCAGTAGTGGCTCCCGGCATGAGTTTAAGTACCAGAGCTCAAGCGGCTCCAGAGTTGTGCAATAAATGAAGCAGATATCAGCTCCATTTCAGATCTTAATATAAGCTAACAGGCTAATTAATATTCTTGGTTCTTTCGGCGAAGTCACGTAGAAGGGAAACAATAAAATAATAAACATATAAAGCAATAAAATTTTCACGACGTTTCGACTGCAACACAAGCAATCATCATCTTGCTGTGGTTTTCACACCTGATGATGATTGCTTGCGTTGCAGTCGAAACGTCGTGAGAATTTTATTGTTTTATATTTTTATTATTTTATTGTTTCCCTGCTACGTGACTTTACCGAAAGAACCAATAATATGAATCCCTGCAGTCACGAAAGCTTTAAATCAAAGGCTAATTAATATAAATACGCCATTCCACTTGATCTCTCTCATCTCTATTTTTGTCTACGTGTAGCTCATTGACAAATCTCAATTAAAACTACATCTTTCACCCCCCACCCCCTCTAATCTCACGTCTTTTCTCCACATTTCTCTCATCTCGCTCGTCTACGCATCTTCCTCCATGTGACAAATGACTTTAAGCCCTTGCAATGTTATGATGAGCTAGGACGTGCGTGGTGTGAGTGAAAGGGAGGCTGAGTCGCTTGCTTGGACATTTCTTGGAACGCAATTGAAAAAGCCCTCAACACAGCCACACCGCCACCCACCCGACATCATTCAACGCGTGGAGGGAAATCCTCTGGGCCGGCATGCGTGCGCTGTGTGGCCTGGCGGTGTGGGCAGCAGCAGGAGTAGCAGGAGCAGCAGGAGCAGCAGCAGGAGCAGGAGCAGCAGGAGCAGGAGCAGCAGGAGCAGCAGGAGGAGGAGCAGCAGGAGGAGAAGGAGCAGGAGGAGCAGGAGGAGCAGCAGCAGGAGGAGCAGCAGGAGTTGCAGGAGCAGCAGGAGCAGGAGTAGCAGGAGCAGCAGGAGGAGCAGGAGGAGCAGCAGGAGGAGCAGGAGGAGCACGAGGAGCAGCAGGAGGAGGAGCAGGAGAAGAAGGAGCAGGAGGAGGAGCAGCAGGAGCAGCAGGAGGAGGAGCAGCAGGAGCAGCAGGAGGAGGAGCAGCAGGAGCAGCAGGAGGAGGAGCAGCAGGAGCAGCAGGAGGAGGAGCAGCAGGAGGAGGAGCAGCAGCAGGAGGAGGAGGCGGAGGAGGAGGCGCCACGCGATGGGAATGATAATGCCGCCTGTCTGCCCGCCCGCTCTTTCTCCTCCTCCTCCTCGCCCATGGTTGGCTGGCTGGCTGGTAGGATTTTTATTTATTTAAAGCACATTTTTATTTATTTCTTCTTCTCATTCCCTCCTCCCTCTTCCTCCTCTTCTATCGCCTACTCCTCCTCCTCCTCTTCCTTCTCCCTCCCTCCCCCCATTCTAAAGGGGGGGAAAATCCTCCCTTGCTCCCCCCTCATCCGCGATAACAATAACAGCGATAACAGCAGCAGCGGCGGCGGCGCTGGTGGTGGTGGCGGCTACGGGCAATGACGAAGGAAGACCGAGGGGAAAACGACAACAACGACAACAACAGCAGCGAATAAACGAGAACAAGAGAGAGGGACGATAAGGACGGACGGCGGGAGGAGAATCTGTGTTCTCCACCCCGCCCACCACCACCACCAACAACAACAACAGCCACCACCATCAACCACCACCATCATCTATCTCCCGCTCTCCGTGTCACCCACCGTGTTGCAACACTCAACACACACAACAGAGAGAGAGAAAGAGAAGCGAAAGGCGGGGTTGGTGAGGGTGAGAGAGAGAGAGAGGGGGGGAGGCAGTGAGAGAAACAATGAAATAAACGCGGGGGGACAATGCGGATGTCGCCTCGCTCTCTCGGACGCCGGCGTCGCTTCGTCGTTCTGCCGCTGACTTAAAAGGAGTCCGCAGCCACCGCCGCCACAATCTCCTCCTCCTCCTCCTGTGCTCATCGATCATCATCATCATCCTTCCACCGGCCACCAACATCAACCACCACGGTCTGGTCTCCGGCGTCTGCCGCCGTGTGGTTGTCCATCGTTGTCGACAAAGAGGCGGCTCGAGAGAGAGCCCCCCACCACCACCACCTTGTTTAGCGAGGCCAGCAAGCCAGTTGTTTGCAGGCTTGCGACGCTCTCGTCTTCGTCTTCTTCTTGTTATTGATGTCGTCGTTGTTGTTGTTTTGAGACACAAGAATAAGAAGAAAGCGTCTTCTCGCTCGGATTCTCCTGCAAACCACCGACGAGAGGATCTCGTCGCCTCGTGCCCTGCCTCGGTGTGTACCCGGTGGGAGGTCGTTCATCTCTCGCTCGTCTCATCTTTTATTTTTTTCTTGGGGGGGCCCCCCGTGGCTTGCAAGCCCTCCACCAGGACGGATGGTCACGGCGTCGGCGGAAGAAGACGACTGGACTTGAGTAGCGGTGATGGTGGTGGTTGTTTTCTCCAAGGATATCCTAGCTTGGCGAGAAAGCAAGCCCCTCGTGTTCCTTCGATTCGAGTCGGTTCGTTTTTAAGTTGACATTCGTGTTTTTAGTTGGTTTAGCTGGGGGGGGGGGAGGGAGGGAGGGGGTTGGTGGTTATTTTGTTATTTTCGTTAGCGTCATTACTTTACGATCGTCGTCATTGTTGCTGCCGCTGCAGTATTATTACATCGTTCCATTTCAAATCTCATAGCGAGCGATAGGGAAGAGAAGAGGGCTGACCGAGAGACACCACCCCCTTCCCCGACCCGAGGAGGAGACCCCAGGCTCATTTCCCCGGAGCTTTTTTTTCTTCTGGGGCTCGCTTTTGTTTTCCTATGCGAGCCGATCTGTTCCCGGGGTCCGGTCTGCTCCAGGACGCCGCGGCCCATGGCCGGGATCCGGCTGCAGATCACAGCTTGCGGCCCGGACAGCAGCAGCAGCAGCATCAGCAGCAGCATCATCAGCTGGAGCAGGAGCTTGAGGCGGCCAAGTCGATGGAGACATGTCACCAGCTGCCCGTGCTGCCCCTCGACCGACCGATCCCCAAGCACGTCCTCTTGCGACGAGGCGCCATTAGCTTCAGCTCCTGCACGGCCCTCTTCAGTGGACCTCAGCCCAGGCTTCTGTCACAGGTATGGGTGGGGGGAGGCGAACCGACGCTAATTGCCACACGGTGGTGGTGGTGGTGGAAGGTTGTGGTGGTGGTCTGAACAATAAGTTGTTAATACCTCGGTGGGCTTTGCCCCTGGTTTGATGGGGATGGTTTAGTTGAGTTTGTGTTTTTTTTTCTCTCGGTGATTTGCTTGCCTTTGCTGTACTTTGCACTCATATCGTGTCCTTGTATTGATTGTTGCTGTAACGTTCTTAATACCGTGCCTCCTAACTGGACATCTTGTGAAAAAGAGATCCGTAGCTTATCGGATTCCTCCGGTATATAATGCTTATTCTGGTCTCTCTGGTGGTTGTGGTGGTGGGGGCCCATTGGTGCAGTGGTAAACGCGGCCTCTTCGCAACGTTCCTTGAGCGGAATTCTCAAAGTTGAATCTTGTGAACAATCAAGGCGGCGGATGCAATCGGTGCTGTGATGATACGCATCAAAAGCTGCCGGCAGTCTTCGTCTGCCCGGTCACACAACAAGTGCATCTCACACGTGTTGCAGGAGGGGGGGGGAGTAACGAGCGTGTAAACTTTTGTTGACGGTGCAGACGTGTAAATCTGCACCGTGGCAGGCATTCACGTCGATTGCACGTTCACGGCGCTGTAACTGAACCTGGAATATTGTAGATCAATTCTAGATTTGAAGCTTTCGTGACTACAAGGATCCATACTCTTTGGTTCTATTCGGTAAAGTCACGTAGGTGAAAAATAAAACAACAAAAATCACGACGTTGTGGCCGAAACGTCGTGATTTTTGTTGTTTTATTTTTTTTACCTACGTGACTTTACCGAATAGAACCAAAGAGTATTGTAGATCAGTTGTTTTGCATTTAAGGTGTTCCATGCCTTGGATGCCTGAGCGTGACATTAAACTGGGACGCAGTTCTCTGGTAACTCAGGGAGGGGGGGGGTCTCTCTCCTTCTTTACAAGTGTGTAAACTTTGTATTATGGTGGTACGTGTGACGGCATCACAAGGCCTTTTGTTTGGGACGGTCAAGTTTGTAATTTGTTTAAATACGGTGGCACTGCGGTGTAGGTGTCCATGGTGAGTGGGGAGCTGCTAATATTTATCGCTTTACACAATATAAGCCTTGCGTGGGTCGAGTGGATTTGTTTAACCAGCTGAGAACTCAAGAGACCAGGAGAGACTAATTTGTAAGAGTGGCCTGGTGAAGTTTTGCTTGCAATGTTGCAAAGTCCCAATGTCACTATTTATTAGGAAGCCATTGGAGCGGTGCACTTTAAAATCTGGATTGAAAACTAATTTCTTTAAAGCTACTTTTTTGTGTTAGTTGCAAAACACCGACATCGTTTTACGTTTGTCCAACTGTCATAATTTTAAAAATTGTGCAATTTCGTGGTTTCACTGAATTAATCGTGGTCTGTTTTTTGTTGTTGTTGTTTTTAAATAAGACTTTATTACGTTCCCCGTTGCCTTCTATAGCCTGCTCAAAATCTTATTTTTCACGAGGGTGCCTTTCTTTGTGTGGTGTGTCTCATCAAGTGGCCCGATAGTGTAGAGACGGCACAGGTGAGTGGTCGGGCAGTGCACTAATCAACCCATGTATTGTGTTCAAAGGACTCTCTTAGGCCGTACGTCTCGTGTTCTGCCTCGACTAGTACTTTGGAAGGAGTGAATATTCTATAGAGGCACAACAACACCAGGCGGCAGATATTGCCTTTTGGCAGTAGATATTGGAGCATGAATTTTATGGGCGACGTGAAAGGTGTTTGCGTATATATCACGGCGGTAAGTGCAGTTTTGAGTGCGTCCCGGTTTTCATTAATTCACATTGTTCGTGCAGCATCGCACATTTACAAACTCGTGCAGGTACTGTACCGTATATATGTCTACGGTGTGTAAATGCATACAGTATGCCGTATATATTACAGTATTAGCCTAGCGGGGCATATTTCTAAATAATGTGAAATCAATACGGGGAAAGCATTGCTATTTGTTTTTTTTGTTTAAATCTGAGAGATGGCTTTGATCAGTAGGGCCAAATGAAACTCCCATCACTTTGGTTTCACGGCATTCGTAAAGGAACAGACAAGGGATAGAAACAGGAAGATGTAACGAGGAAACCCCTCCCAAAATGTAGCAGACAAACCCCCCTCAAAACTCCCATTATCTCTCCACTGTAAAAAAAAAACCCAGCATCAGTCCAAGCCTGACGACGTTGCTGTTGAACAAGAGAATGAGTGGCTGCATTGAGCGTTAGTAGACATTTCACATGGTGGTTTAATTAGCAAGCCGTTGGATCCCCGTAGAGCAGTATTTATACAGCATGGCATTTTGGCCTTCAATCCCGAGGTTGCCAGTTCAATTTCGAGTCACACTGGAGTTGTTAATTCGCGATATACAGAATTCCATCTGGTGGGAAGGGCTGGGGAATGGCTACAACTGTAGAAAATTGATTTGTAGTTCACTTTTTGATGAGGCAAACATGTGGATATTAGATAGGGAAGGTCTGTCACTCGCCAGTTGAAAAGAGTGCATTGTGGAGCGCATAGAGAATCGTTATCTCCTATAATTTAAACTATTTGCGAACAGCTAATTCATGTGCTGAGTATTCCTTTCAATTTAGCATTGTTCTAAGTAGTGTAAGGAACTTGCTTTTTGAAGGGCTGTCCTTGTCCCAGTGTGCTATGTGGAATGATCACAGCCTCCACTTGATCTTCAAGCTACACTTGTGAGGCAGTAGACACTTTTCGTGTCTTTTCACAAGGAAGTTTATTGTTACGTAAATAAAAATGGTTTAACTCATAGTATTTTATAATCCCCGTGTTTTGCGGAAAGGTTTTGTTAACGTAAGAAAATTAAAATGCTTTAACCTACATTCTTTTATAATCCCAGTGTCTTGTGTAAGGATTATATCATTGTTTTAATTGAATCATTGTGCCTACTATATACACACACACACAAACACTTTTATAAGTGCTGTGTGTTTACACTGTGTATCCTGTATATTATACCGTGCACTCTACTGTACATATAATATAATCAGAGACATGTGTATTAAGTCATTTGTGTGCCAAGGCACGTGTCGTGTGATATTTTTTTTAAAACGTATGCGGCCCACCAAACTCAAAACCCGGCCGTTCTATAAGCCCTGGAAACTTCGGTACACACATGCTCAAGATTCAGGAAGGGACAATTTTGCAATTTAGTACAGTAATTGCGGATAATTCCACATTTTGGCCCAGGAACTGGCATGCAGTCGTCCACGTTTATAGTAAACATCATCACTGGGGCTCTCTCTCTCAACGTCCATACAAATAATGACGAGGCAGTGGGTGAGCCTGTGTGTACGTGTTCCCACAGTGGGTGTGTGGCACTGTGTGTTGGCGGAGCCGAGCGAGGTTCGGCCTCACACTTTGAACTCATTGGCAAATTGAATACAATCTGGGACGTCCAGCGACCACGATACAAATACATGGTGGTGGGTGCATGCCCACGATAGCACGAATGTAACAGTACACACGAGAAATCCAAATGACGCGTTTGCGTTTGAAGAGCATAAAACTTGTACGTACGTTGTGCGTAGGGCGTTCCTCTTCGTTCAGTGGAGGTCTTGTAAACAATTGTAAACGGTTTATGTTTACGTTTATTATCTAATGAAATAGCTGCTTTTAGAAGTCGTGCCAATGCACAGGCGCATCGCAATTCTTTCTTTGCACATATCCCTTTGCTTGTTGTTTTAGGAAGTTCTATAAGGTGGCCAAATTAATGAGCGATTTCTCTGCCAATTTACATTGGAGATTGTTAAGAGTTTGGTGAAGTGATGAGGTGACTTCGATGGCTTATTGGGCTATCCAGCCACTACTCTGTCACTCCTTCCGATGTTTTAGGATATATATGGATGGCTCCATCCAAGGTAACAAATCTTCTCAATGTTTTCAGGTTAAGTCCAAAGCTGAAGGCAAACATAATATTCCGTCAATTGTTAACGTACACAGTATGTGATGTCTTCTGGGTTCTTTCGGTAAAGTCACGTAGAATAGGAATAAAATAATAAAAAATAACCGAAAGAACCCAGAAGATGAATCCCTGCAGTCACGAAAGCCTTAAATCGAAAAGTATGTGATGTGTTTAATGATGGCTTGCAAAAATGGCCTTTTGATTGAGACCCCAAATGTGGTGTTCTGGTTTATCTTTTCGAGTACTGTACTGGTCAGCCTAGTGTAGTATGGTTATTTGACCATGGTGGTTATTTGACTGTACTTCACCACACTCGCATGGCCAGTTATGGGGAGGCCTTCACCCAGCAATGGATTGATAAAGGGCTGTACATCACGTATTACCATTGAGGAGCATTCACTCGTGTGGAACTTGCCAAGCAACTCTACTCACAATGCATGCAAAATACCAACTGCGTGCATTGTGCACGCGCACATTTCATTGCACTGAAGTTCTTATCGTGGAATACATTGTCAACGAGTGTCATGTCTCTTATAATATTTCCGTGTTTTTTTTTTACGGCAGCCATTCAAACGCTGGCATTCTTTTTACGTAACGGTGGCCGACGTGTTTTCACAAACACCGCTCTGCACCCACGTCAGTATCACCACAAACACTGCTGCAGAGCAGTGCCCACTTCGGTTGACTTCGTAACGCTCATTTTTGAATTCCTGCAGGAGTGTGGGACTATCGTTTGACACTGCAGTGTTAATTTAGTAACCACCCATTATTTTGTATTCATCACTCTTTACGTAATGTAACATGGTTAATGTAACATCGTTAATATTTACTCGTGTGCATGTCAAACGACTACTGGATGAGGGCCCCTCCCCACTCCGTTGCAGGTCATTTGACCATACTTCACCTGACTGGTCAGTGCGGATTGCCTTTCTACAATGTGGCCTCACACTAGCATGTAGTAACGCATGTGCATGTTGGTCGCCCATCCAAGTTCTATCCAGCCCAGCTTACTTTGTAATGAGATGGGTGCATTGTGAGTGATTTGTTGATTG